AATGAATTGGACAGAAATGTCGAGGAGTCGGAATCAGGAACCAAGATTAAAATAACAGCGAAGAATGGTTCTTTTTCTGATTCGCAGACTTTTGTATTCACAACTCAGCGACAGACTGCTTGGAATGAGAATGGATAAGCGTTGGCACAAAAACGGAATAATTTATGCTGTGTATTGTTCGTTGTATAGGACACGCCTTTTCCCAAACTTTTCCAAACGTTTCAGCATTGTCTCGCATTTTAAAAACAGAAAAGTCACAAATTCGAAACTTCTTGTGCCTTTTATTATGCAAACTCGCTTAACTTATGCTGATATAATTTAGACTTTTCTGTATTGGTTTTCTTTCTGAAAACAACTTTTCAAAAATGCTTTCTGTTTATGTTATTGATACAAATATTTAAGTAAATGCTCAGTTTATAATAAACAGTATTAACTAGATTTACCGGTCAGAACGTACGAGAACTTTCACAGAATATATACGTGTTCTTCGACAGGAATCGAACCGGTATCCTAAACGAAACCGTCATATAGCCTTTCGTGTTGTACCATTTAGCTACAGGGAAAGTGTCTGGTTAGCAAGCTCAAATTACTGATTTTCTAACCAGAGGCTTCGAAAACGACGTTGATATACATATATATGTGTATGCGCCTGTCTGTATGTATATATATATATATGTATATATATATATATATATATATATATATATATATATATATATATATATATATATATATATATATATATATATATATATATATCATAACCTAAATATTACGTTCGAGCATGAAACAAACTTTTTGTCACTCGATGTTGACCTCAGTGTCCACTTTTTTTATATTTACATACCACGCTCTCTTTCTTGTTATTGTGCTCTTTTACCAATAAATATAGCATACCTTAAAACTATATTTAATCATATATATATATATATATATATATATATATATATATATATATATATATATAGTAGAAGTAATAAATCCGTTGGTATATATTCCAAGTGGATGCTAGCAATATATATTTTTAGCATTCAATGCTAAATTTCTATTTCTGACACAAACTCAGTCCATTGATAAGACAGACGACCGATATTTTCATCTGCTGAAATAGGCTATTCCCCATATGAGGTGATTTGAGATTTTATTGTTTATACATATATATATATATATATATATATATATATATATATAATTAAATTTTAGTCGTTTATATATATATATATATATATATATATATATATATATATATATATATATATATAAATATATATACTAAACAACCTACCTATGCCACAAGGCTGCAAGTATTAAACACCCAATGAGAATCGAATTCACTAATCAGTTACGACTGATCTATCTAAATAAGCATGCTGACCATATCACCACATTCATGTTGATCGACTTATTTGCTTTTTTATTGCTTATCAACCCTTTGTGGGTTATTTAAATCCGAAATATATTTCGGAGTAGAAGAAGTATTCTTTTTGCGAGTGAATATTCCAGTAACAATTTTGTGGCGATAACAATGATTTTTCCAGATCTATTATGCAACCCGTCGCTTTGTGGGAGTAGAGATGAATTCATTACCTTTCCCATTGGCCTTTGCGCGTAAGTGAATTCAACGAACACGACTGGAATTCGAACTCGGTTCATCCGAGTACGCATTCTAAGTCGCTATCCATTAAATTCTAAGTATAAGCATCCTTTTTGTTGCCATTTTCCTTAAAACTTTTTGCTTACATGTTCAGTCTATCGTATTATCAGCATTTTCCGGTAGAATCACATTTTTGTTGCCTTTTCTTAATCTGTGAGGAAACTGTCCAGCATTTACTGCCATATATGAAAATTGATGTTACATAGTAGTTTGCTTTGTTTGTAACGAAATTCGCCTGTTTCTGAACACTTTCGCTATCCCAATGCACCTTCAGATTTCTATGTCGTACCGATTTCATATATATATATATATATATATATATATATATATATATATATATATATATATATATCGTCATCCACAGACTGCTTCGCTGTATCACAGCTCATCAGAGTGGCTAGACATCCGATCACTTCAAGCCGGGACCGAACCCCGACCGGTTTGGCATCAAATATATAGATCTTTTTTTCTTTTTTTTTTCAACTTCTTCTTCTTCTCCCCCTCTTCTTCTTCTTTTCTTCTTTTTCTTTTTCTTCTTCTTCTTCATCATCTTCTTCTTCTTCTTTCCCCCTTCTTCTTTTTCTTCTTCTTTCGCCATTCTTCTTCTTCTTCTTTTTCAACTTCCTTCTTCTTCTTCTTGCGCCAATTACTAAGCCTGCTGATAAGAAAGTGGGTACGCTGTGTTGTGCTGAACAATTTTCCCCGCCTAAATATGTCTTGCCCCTTTATCAGTCTACCATTCGTTCGTGCGTTTGAATATTGTTGTCAAATTTGATCTGTTGCTCCTGCTATGCATCTTGAGATTCTGAACAAAGTCCAAAGTAGAATCTAATTGATCTCGACCTGGCATCTCGGCTTCAATCACTTTCTCACTGCCATAACGTTCCTTCCTTGTGCCTTTTCTCCAAATATTTTCATGGCAATTGTTCTAGTGAGGTTTCCACCTTGGTGTATCTTAAGAACTCATTGGTACCTCGCTTTCGTGAATTTTAGCGTAGTACAAGATTGACAGCCAGGTCTCATCCTTTTACTGGTTATATCGCTAAATGTAGCAGTAAGTTCTGGTCGTCTCTTCTCTCGCCCTTTTTGTCGATGGAACTCTTCTTCTTTTCCTGTCAACTACAGTCTTCAAAAATTAAAATGCAACGTCAATCGTCGTTTTCTGTCTCCTTAAATCCTGTTCTTTTTATTGTCCCTTCTCCTCAGTAAGGTTTTCTCAGTTTTTCTTCACGCTCAGTAACCACCCCCCCTTGCATCTTAGTGGCTTTATTACCTTGTTTGGGATGAAATCATTAAAATATTTTCTGTCTCCTTGAATCCTGTTCTTTTTATTGACCTTTCTCCTCGGCATTTTTTTCTCAGTTTCCTTCACTCTCTGTAACTACTTGCATCTTAGTAGCTTTATCGCCTTGCTAGGTGTGAAATGGTTAAAAAGGTCTTTTGTCTCCTTGAATCCTTTTTATTGTCCTTTCTCCTCAGTAACATTTTCTCAGTTTCCTTCACGCTCAATAACCCCTTGCATCTCAGTGGCTTTATCGCCTTGCTTGTTGTGAAATGATTTTTTAAAAAGGTCTTCTGTCTCCTGGAATCCTGTCCTTTTTAATGTCCTTTCTCCTCAGCAACTTTTTCTCGGTTTCTTAGTGGCTTTATCGCCTTACTTGGGGTAAAATGATTAAAACATGCTTGTCTTCTTGAATCCTGTTCTTTTTGTTATCCTTTCTCCTTTGTAACGTTTTTTTTTCAGTTTCCCTCACTCTACTGTCTTTCATTCCAAGTGACCGTTTGCATCTTAGTAGACGCGTTCACTTTTCCTTTCTGTAGTACTTTTTATTCCCAAACAAACCACGTGTCGCGTACAGCATAATACTATCATTATACTGTTTTCAGTGCTAATAATAATATCGCCACTCCAACTTATCATATCACTCTGTCGTATGAAGACAGCTGAGTGGTAGAAACTCTGACAACAAATCGGTTGGGTTTCAATCCTGGGTTTCAATCCTGGCTTGAGGCATTCGGGTGTCTAGTCGCACTGAGGAGCTGTGATACAGCGAAACAGTACTTCCTGCGAATGACATATATATATATATATATATATATATATATATATATATATATATATATATATATATATGGATTGATGTGAGTTAGTACCATGGGTTTCACGCTAGAGTTTGTCTGACGATCGCAGATAGCGTGAAACCCAGAGTCACAAACTCACATCAATCCAACTAAATATGTTAGCTTTATCGCTGATATTGAGTGCTTTCCAATAAGTACCGCGCATATAAAACCTGCATATATATTTATATAAATACACACACACACACTCACTCACACGTATATATATATATATATATATATATATATATATATATATATATTTGTGTATTTAGGCAGCAATCCTTCTTTCATACACATTTCATTCAATAGGACAGACAAGGTGCTTTTATTTAGTTTTTTATACAATTTCTCATGCGATCTAATAATTTTTTTTTCTTTTCGGATGATAAATTATATAAAAACTGTCCGAATGTTCATTTTATCGGAGCGCTTTCGGCTATACATTTAGCCATTTTCAAGGATTATATTTTAACTGTTAAAAAAAAGAAATAGTTTGTTGTATGTATGTTTTATAAAATGTTTTCATTTTTTCAAAACACGGTCAAGATAGTGTGTCCATGTTCAAAGTTAATATTATTAAGTGTTGTTTTTTTTTATTATTATTAAGGCTTCCATTATTTTAGCCTTTTTTTTTTACATGTAGATGATGCTATTATATTAGTGTTTCTAACAAGTATGTTACGAATAGTGTCCTGTAGGTCTCCATGAATATTTAAATGAGATCTAATTGAGCTATGGTCAGAAAGGTGTAGAGTGAGTCTATCCCTCTTCAGCCAACTAGTCAACGCCACTACAAGCTGGTAACGTCGTTATAAATTCCAGTTATATGCAACATGCAGTACGTATATGTGGATACCGGCAATTAAAAAGTGTCCGTTGCCATATATCAACTCCGTGGAAAGATGGCTAAATGTTATTGAAAGATGAATGAGAGCATGTTGTTATTTCTAAAGAACACCGGCTAAAAATTCAAAGAACAAAGAAAAATCGATTGAAATGTTATAATAAATAAAAGCACAGATGCTACTTGGAATAATTCCTAACTGTTACCTTTATTAGTTTTCTGTTACTCTAGTAAGTTCGATCATCAACTAATGTGCTACTGTTTTGACCTTCGCCATTGATTGGATAGTCCGCTATTGTATTCTTAAGTCACACTAAGCTAAGCATAGTAAATACACTGACCTACCAAAAGTCATGAATAAATCCCTTGTATCATATATCTGTTCTCAACTCGGTATTTATGCTGCTGACACGACCATATATTTCTATCTTAATAGTAAATCTAAACGATTCAATAAGGTCAAATTGATAGCAAAAAGGATCTATTTTCTGTTGTTAACTGGGACAAGGAATGGCTTCTTAATTTTAACGCCTCCAAAATGAAACTGCTCTCTTTTAATCATCTGTGAGAACCTTTTTTGCCTCTCATCCTCATGGCTGATGCTAACCTTCAGAAGAGGGACTCATTGTGCCTTCTTGGGCTAACATTTTCCACTGACATGAAGTAGAAAGATTAAATTGAATGAATTATATGTCTGCTACTAGAAAAGTTGGTTCACTGTGTCGTGCTAGACAATTTTTCTCGCCAGAATCTATCTTAGATATTTATAAGTCTACCATTCGTCCATGCTTTGAATATTGCTGTCAAATACAGTCTGGTGCTCCTGCTATACATTTAAAGGTTCTTGATAAAATCTAAAGATAAGCATTTGCAATGTTATTGGTTCTGACCTGGCATCTCGGCTTCAGTCACTTTCCCACCGTATCTTCCTTGTGTCGTTTCTATAAATATTCTCATGGTAATTGTTCTGACGGACTCTCTTATAAGGTTCCTATACTTTATGAATTTAAACGCAGTACTAGATTGGCGGCAAGGTCTCATCATTTTACAGTTGAAATGGCTAGATGCAACCGTAAGTTCTATGCTAACAGTTTCTTCTATCGCACTTTTCGCTTATGGAACTCTTTTCCGGATTCTTGCTTTCAAGTCAATTTTGATCTTCAAAAATTTAAATGCAATGCAAATCGCAAATCTTCTGTTTTCTTAATTCATTTTTTTTTTTATTCTTCTCTCTGCTTAATTATGTTATTTTATCTCATATTCTCTAACAGCCAGTAATCCCCTGCTTTTTGATATCTTTATTGCATTCCTTGGGACGAAATAATTAAAAAAACATACAATGACGTGCCAAGCGTCATAAGTAAATTCCTTGGATAATATAACACCCGTTCTAGTCCGGCAAGAGGCAACAACTCGACGTGACATCGATTTCACAAGAGGTCGGAAAACTCGAGAGTAATATTGTGCAATCCTGTCTCAATGACTTATCGCTCACGTCCCGCAATGACTTGATGATAAACCTACTAGAGTCATGTACCAGTTCAACCCGCCACTAAACTGCATCAGCCAGTCCCTGGAAGGACGTCGCGTGCCAGGACCACCAGAAGTTTAAGCTGGCGCTGGAGGATGTTCCGACGCTCTTCCAAGACCGTGAGAGCTGGTGAGACAACGTGGGTATCGTGAGCTCAACGTCTTCATGGCGCAAGATTTAACAGCAGCAGTCTGGATAGCTGTTCACAGTTCCCTCATAATTCATGCTCGTGAATAAATCACTCCACTACATATCTATAAATGTCCAAGTTGGATTATGTCGAACGAACGTAATGTCCACGCCATTCCTCGTTATTATCTTACTAGATTAAATCATAATTGCTATTGGCTTACATGGAGTCTATGGCTGTGTAGAGATGGACATAGCTGTCACCATTCGATGATGCGTTTAGGCTGAGCTGCGGACCTAGTCCATACCACTGTGAACAGAACCTACACCATCATGCAAACACCACGATGGCTGCTTGACATGGAGACTATGCAAAGTCTGAATCCTAATACTTAGGTTAATGTTTTCGTTGTGGCAAAAAAGGCTGTTATATCTACTTTCAGTCTTGACAGAAACCAATTTAACCCGAAGAACTCGAGTTATGTTCTTAAATAGCCTCGTTTGTTCGACAATCCCATATGGATACCATGCATGGCACCCAATCAGTTCAGAAATTTTTTAACTGTCATATGTATGCAATCGCTTTCTTGGATCAACAATATTTATTTGTTTTGTTTTAAGGCACATCAACCTCAATGGGTCATTAAATGCCGACACCTTTTTTTTACTGGTAATATATTTGTTTTGTCAAATCTATTTCTGTTAATATTTTTTTCCTCAAAAACGTATAGCTGGTAATATTATTTTTTCAAAAACGTATAGCTGGTAATACTATTTTCATACCCAGGACGTGGATGTAGTTTATCGTCATACCCAGGATGCGGATGTAGTTTATCGTCATACCCAGAACGCGGATGTAGTCTCAGTTTCGAGGTTAACTATTTGCCCATAGCTGGGACCCTAACAGGTACTACCACCCCGGGTCAGGGTGGGCCTGGGAACACCAGCAATTAAGAGGTGGTGCCACGCTCCTCAAAGCCTCCTGATCAGAGGCCTTGCTGTTGGACGTAGTTTATCGTCTTACCCAGGACGCGGATGAAGTTTATCGTCACACCCAGAAAGAGGATCAAAGATATCTTCAAGCGAATAACACTGTAATTTTTAGAGAGAACCATTCTTCTTCGGACATCGCGGTCTGGCGCTACAGAATCACAAAGAACTGCACCATAATAACAGAAACCACATCATTTGATGACTCCTAACAGCAACAATTAAACTGGTTAACACATGTAACTCAAAGGGAGAATAATGTCATAAGTTATTTTATCAACAAAGTCCAACCGTAAAGATTTGGACAGGGGCCATGACTTCAAGCTGTCAATAAAATTAGGGAGATATTCACTGTCTATAAATTATATGGGTATCTATTAAAAATAACGTTTAAGCAATAACTTAAAATATGTCGGACCGAAAAATGGATAAAAGCGGAACGATGTTCAAGAAGATAAAAGATGGCGATTGACGTTGCATTTAAATTTTTAAAGATTGTAGTTATCAGGGAAGCAAGGAAACAGAAGGTAGTTCCACAAGGGGGAAGTGCTAGAAAAGAAACTCTTGGAGTAGAAGTGGTGGTTACATTTTTCGACAGTAAAAGGAGAAGCCAATATAGTAACACGTTTAAACTAACGTAATCTGGTCACCAGGTAAAAAAGCTCGTCAGAACAGTAGCCATGAAAATATTTTTTAGAAAAGACAAAAGGAAGCTACGTCACGTCAATTCTCTTGCTGACAACCATACGAGGTCTGTCTGAAAAGTAATTTCAATTCCAAGCGACAAAATTAATAGTTTCCCCGTTCAAAGCTATCCTACTTGAGTATAATACTCTTTCCTATACTTCTCAGCCACGCTTCTATGAACTTCAGGAAGGATTCTTTTTGGATGCTCCTCAGCTCCGTCGTTACGGCCCTCTCGATGGGATCCACGCTGTCAAAACGGGTCCTCTTGATGATACTGTTAAGCTTTGGGAAAAGAAAAAAAGACACAAACAAAATCAACCAACCAAATAACCAACATGAAAGTACTTTTCGTGACATTAGTCCATATAAAACCCTACAATTTCTTAAAGAAATCAAACTGTATTACAAAATATAATTTCAAACAAAACTACAGGGTGGTCCGAAAGTTTTGTTACCCCTGTCAAAAAAAAAATGAGAGCAATAGAAGAACAAGTAATACAAAGCGCATATACTGGATTCAGTTAATTCACTTTCATTGACGCTATCACACATTGAAAACGTCTGTATGAACACCATCATGAAATGGAAAATTATATTATGTAAGTGTGACAAGACATTCGGGCCACCCTGTACTTAGGTCTTCCGGTATGTCACTACTGCTGTAGATTTAATTTATTACCGTTTGGAATAAGGAGAACAGATACTACACTTTGATCCCAGACTCATGGCTAAGGGGTGAAGAAAAGCATAACTCAAGTAGCACTGGCTGTTCGGTCAATAAAAGACGAATGTTTCCATATAAGGAAACGGCTAATATTATCATTGCCATTAGAGATGAGTAGAACAGATACTACACTTTGATCCGTGCCCGATGGCTAGGAAATGAAGAAAAGCATAACTCAAGTAGCACTGGCTGTTCGGTCAATGAAAGACGAATGTTTCCACGAATGTTTCCCATATGAAGAACAGATAAACTTTGATCCGTGCCCGATGGCTATGAAAAAAGCATAACTCATCACTTGTTCCAATGAAAGAGAATGTTTCCATGAAACGGCTAGAACAGAACAGATACTACACTTTGATCCGTGCCCGATGGCTAGGAAATGAAGAAAAGCATAACTCAAGTAGCACTGGCTGTTCGGTCAATAAAAGACGAATGTTTCCATATAAGGAAACGGCTAATGTTATCATTGCCATTAGAGATGAGGAGAACAGATACTACACTCTGATCCCAGCCTGATGACGAGGAAATGAAGAAAAGCATAACTCGAGGTTGTTCGCTCAATGAATGCCAAATGTTTCCATATAAGTAAACGGTTATTATTTACATTAGAACTTTCAACAGCAGCAACAACTAAAATAGATATCACAAATTTCAACTGACAGAATTACTGGCTTCTCGGTGAGTGAATACCGAATGGAAGAGGCTGATATTATCATTATCATTACGATATCAGACCGAAACCATGAAGGCATCGAACCAACCCACACGATGCCAGTCCTTGAATATGTAATCAGCGAAGTCACTTCATCAAGCTAGAGGAGGTGGTGGTTACGAAATTCTACGACATTTTGGTATGTTACTATATTTATTTAAAATGGAATTAATATATTACCGAGGAACCATGAACAGTAAACCAAATGTGTTCACAATTATTTAGTTGATTGTTTTTGTTTAGCGCCATATCAATCATGGGTTATTTAATGCCAAATCTCAATATCTCATTTTATCTGTTAGGTTGTTTTTTGTTTTTAGATAATAATGGTTTTTAGGGATAGAAGTCTTACTAATTAACCCGTAGCTGGGGGGGAAAAAGGTGGATTCATCCTTTCACGTAAGTGAAATTAACGAAGTCAACTGGAATCAGAACTCGACTCTCCGATTAACAATTCCGAGTCATTATCCATTACACCACCCACACATCCAAGCTTAAAGCACCTGGTATTCCCAAGCGGTCACCTATCTAGGTACTCACCAGATTCGACGTTGTTTAACTTCGGTGATGGTACGAGAGCCGGTGTTTCAACGTGATGTGCCCGTAAACCCGGACACAATTATGATCCAATCTAAATGGACTGGGCAAAAATTTATAGAGAGCACAATGTCCAAAACCATTCTAAACGGAATCACAACACATGTTGTTGATGACTGAGTTTAGTTTTATCTGATACAACACTGGGGCGCCCAGTGAGGAAACAATTCACTACTCGGTAGTAATGGTCAACCAGACTATGTCGCGAAACATTACCCCAGTCAATAGCACCCGAGAAAAATGGAAATTTTGGCCGGAACTAATTCCAGTGCTTTCACATCTGTTTGAAATAATCTGTTTATTTTATTATATGCTGTATTTTTTTTCCTTTACTATTACGCCCGTAAGATCGCACTCTGAAACCTAGACGTGCCTACGATGGTAAATATATTCGTGAGAAGAAAGAAAAAGGCAAAAAACAAAAAGCCGAGAAGTTCGGATGCTAGTTCAGCTTAAGGACGAGCGAACATCCTGGTCTTGAATTACGTCACACACGCTACAAGTCATGACGTACAATTTTCACAGTATGCACGAATTGTTTTCTTTTCTTTTTATATTCACGTATAAGCTTACATAAATATATTTCTGGCTTCAGTATGATGTGGGGGGGTGTTCGGAGCTGTTTTTACGTCGAATATTCGTGTATGCTGTTCCGTGCAACTTTTTTTATATAGTTAAGGTAATTATGAACGTTGCTACTCAATTGCATTAACACATACTGGAAGCATTATATGTCAATTACGACTGAGTAGAGTGTTCGATCCTCAATGGGCGCTCTCTATTTTCGGAGTTGTAACATGTAAGCAAAACCATGTAGACCAATATATATATATATATATATATATATATATATATATATATATATATATATATATATATATATATAAAAATCAGTATATGATCTAAGTGGATCCTAGTAATATAAAATATTAAAACTGATCCACAAAATGAGCTCAATGTATTTATTATAACAAAGCCAATAAATAGTATTGCACAACAAAATCCAAAATTACCTCATATGGGGGGGGTTACATCAATTTCAACTGATGAAAACTTCGTCATTGTTATTCAACCCCTGTATATAAACTCAGTTCGTGTCATAATTTAACTGTGACGGCTATCGAAAAATTAATACGGAATTTATCCATGGATAAATTCTATATTAATTGTTAAATTTCTGATCTAATTCGGATACGAACTCAGTCTACAAACCGGGATTGAATAAGACTGACGAAGTTTTCGTCGGTTGAAATAGTTCTATTGCCCATATGAGTTAATTTGGGATTTTATTAATAATAATATATATATATATATATATATATATATATATATATATATATATATATATATATATATATATATATATATAAAATAATAATCCGTTTGTATATAATCCAAGTGAATCTAATAATATAAAATATTAAAACTGATCCACAAAGAGAGCTCAATGTATTTATTATAACAGAGCATATAAATTACTTCACTCCTGAGTTGACAAGGCCTACAAGCAAGTTTTAGTGAGCGGAAATAGCTATTCGAATCGGGTAATTTGGGATTTTATTCTATATATATATATATATATATATATATATATATATATATATAGAGAGAGAGAGAGAGAGAGAGAGAGAGAGAGAATAAAATAGATTATATCCAAAAATTATTTAATGTATTTTCTTCTTATACGTTATTTTTTATAAATACAATTTATTTAAGTAAACGCTCTGTTTTTTAATAAATAGTATTAATTACATTAACCGGCCTGAATGTTCAAGAAATTTCATAGAAAATATGTGCTTCCCCGAATGATCGGGAAGGGTCGTCGAAGATCTGTTGTTTATATACAGTAATTCGGATCTTCCGAACCAGACGTTTCTTTGAGGCTGAATCAATTGGGGTTGCAGTCGAGGAGAGAGAGAGAGAGAGAGAGAGAGAGAGAGAGTGTGTGTGTGTGTGTGTGTGTGTGTGCGCGCGTGTTTGTGTATCATTTTATATATATATATATATATATATATATATATATATATATATATATATATATATATATATATATATATTAAAACGTTATTTTTAACGGATACCCGTATTTGGCTAGATGCGAAGTTTTTATTTACCTATTAAACTGTATATTTATTTTGTTTCTATTTACCGGCCTGAATATTCGAGAAATCTTATTAGAAACATATACCGAAGAGCGCATGCGTTTCTCTTAAGATTTTCTAAATAAAAAAACAGAATCTCCACTCAAATATGGGTATCTATTAAAAATAACGTTTAGGCAATAACTTAAAATATGTCGAACTAATAAATGAAAAATACATCCCTAAACATAGATAGATAGATAGATAGATAGATAGATAGATAGATAGATAGATAGATAGATAGATAGATAGATAGATAGATGAGACCAATGACAGATATGAACAAACTAAAATAGATAGATAGATGAAAACTGGCACATATGAACAAAATAGATAGATATGAACAAAATAAAATAGATAGATATAAATATAAATATGAAGTAAATAAAGAGATATAAGCAACCATACATCAAACATTTCAACTGCATTGAAAAGTTCATTACTATTAGTACCTGACGATTGTACACACATGAAACTGTTAGTCGTACTACTGATATGTATAGTTAAGATATATATATATATATATATATATATATATATATATATATATATATATATATATATTACCGATAACATAAAACAACTAATTAGGAAATTTAAAAATCTAAATAAAAATTATATATATATATATATATATATATATATATATATATATATATATATATATATATATATATATATATATATATATATATATTTTTTATTTAGATTTTATATATATATATATATATATATATATATATATATATATATATATATAATTTTTATTTAGATTTTTTAAATTTCCTAATTAGTTGTTTTATGTTATCGGTAAATTTGCCAAAATTCATATTTATTTTTATTTTATATTTTTCCCTCCGAGTAAATCCGTCTTCAATGTTTGTTTTTTTAACTAGCAAAATTCCCTTTGATGCTTAGTGAGTTGCTCATCCGAATAATTAATAAAGTTGTCGATAGAATTAAGGAGATATACATTGTCTATAAATTATTCAGTTTCAGGATTTAGGATATCCTGGTTGTTTTCAAAAGTAGCAGAAGATAACAGTTCGCCGTCAGTTTTATTTCTTTGCATTTGGATATATTTGATCTCATCCATGGATATTTTGATCTCTCTTTCTTTGAGAGAACTCATGGATTCTATGGAATACAAGTTCACTAAACAGCACACAAAAAGTAAAATCATTCAAAACGAATTTCTAAAAAAACTTTGGTCTGAAAAGATGAATATTTGAATATATTCATGAAATAAATTATAAACGAAATGGATTTTTAAGGACTGTCTTTACTATATATATATATATATATATATATATATATATATATATATATATATATATATATATATATATATTCGAAAATTATAACATAATTATGTTATGAAATCACTACAAAAATAGCCATTTTGTTTCAACACTTCTGGTGTCTTATCAAGTGATGATGTTGAATGTAGAATAAAAGGTTTTAAAAGGCTTAAATCATTTAACCACTCCTCGCAAGGGGAAACGCTGTTAGATAAGCTGGAATGACCAATCAAAATACAAGTATATGAGAATTCAAAAAAACTTGACAACGAACTAAGGTTATAATAACTATTTAATGCCTTAATATTGGGGTTAGACAAAAACAGAATTTATTCTAACTAATAAGGATTAAATTATACGATAAAATTTGAAATAAAAAAATAAAATTATCCATTTTAAAAATTAATCTCTCTTAAGTTTAAAATTATAAAATTACTGAGGAAAAAAGAAAAAATACATATGTTATTCTATTTATTTTGTTTTTATTGAAATTAAGCTGGAATAAACGTTAATATTAACTGTTTTTCAGAGCTTCATGACAACATAGATACATTTGAATTCTAAATATAGGCAGAGGAGGATGACATCTTGCCACAGACAATATATATATACACACAGGGTGATTGAAGATTATTTTATGTATCAGAGGCCAGGCAGGTGTCCTGACTTAACCCCTGTGACTTTTTTCTTTAAAGCAGCATCTCTACTATGCCAAACCAAGACTTTGGAAGAACTTGAAGAACTATATATATGACATATTTATAACCCTACCATTCGGCCTTGATTTGAATATTACTGCCACATCTGGTCTAATAACCCGGCGATATATTTAGAAATCCTTGATAAAATACAAAGAAGAATCTTACGCATATATATATATATATATCGTATTATATATATATAATTATTTATTCAATTAAATGGAATAAACGTTAATATTAACTGTTTTTCAGAGCTTCATGACAACATAGATACATTTGAATTCTAAATATAGGCAGGGGAGGATGACAATACTCTATATAATCCTTCACTATCAGAATCTAGACATTCAAAGACACTTAAATTGTATAAAAGAAATAATCCAATCAAGTCATATATATATATATATATATATATATATATATATATATATATAATAAAAAGGCTTAAACACTAATATTCCATGGTCATAATTTATTCCATTGGAATCGTAAATACTATATTTTTTTAATAAAAATTCCAAGAGGTTAGGGTTGTGTGAGTGTGAGTGTGTGTGTTATTTCTCCCCAAGCAAGGTAATAAAGTCACTAAGACGCAAGGGGTTACTGCGCGTTAGGGAATATGAAAATATATGTTATTAAGGAGTGAGGGCAATAAAAGAACAAGAATTATGAAGACAAGATAACGATTGACATTGCATTTAAATTTTCGAAATTTACATAAATTACATTTCCATATATTGTATCTATAAAAAGAATGTTTAAACATAAAAAATGTTTTTATATATATATATATATATATATATATATATATATATATATATATATATATATCAAACTTATCAGATGTTACGAACAAATTTTACAT